CCAGCCCCGCCGCGCCGTTCCCCCGCTACACGCGGGCGGAGGTGGCGCGGCACCGCACGCCGGCGGAGCGCGTGTGGGTCACGCACGGCACCGACGTGTTCGACGTCACCGACTTCGTGGAGCTGCACCCGGGGGGACCGGACAAGATCCTGCTGGCGGCCGGCGGCGCCCTGGAGCCCTTCTGGGCCCTGTACGCCGTGCACGGCCAGCCGCACGTGCTGGAGCTGCTCCGCGAGTACAAAGTGGGCGAGCTGAGCCCCGAGGACGCCGCGCCGCCCGCGGGCGACACCGCGGACCCGTTCGCCGGGGACCCGCCGCGGCACCCGGCGCTGCGGGTGAACAGCCTGAAGCCCTTCAACGCCGAGCCGCCGCCGGAGCTGCTGACCCAGAGCTTCCTGACGCCCAACGAGCTCTTCTTCACCCGCAACCACCTGCCGGTGCCCGCCGTGGAGCCGGGCTCCTACCGGCTGCGCGTGGAGGCTCCGGGCGGCCGCGCCCTGTCGCTGTCGCTGGCGGAGCTGCGGCAGCGCTTCCCCAAGCACGAGGTGACGGCCACGCTGCAGTGCGCCGGGAACCGGCGCAGCGAGATGAGCCGCGTGCGGCCGGTCAAGGGGCTGCCCTGGGGCATCGGGGCCATCAGCACGGCGCGCTGGGGCGGGGCGCGGCTCCGCGACGTGCTGCTGGCCGCCGGTGTCCGCGACAGCACCGGCGACAAGGAGGAGTGGCACGTGTGCTTCGAAGGGCTGGACGAGGACGCCTCGGGGACGCGGTACGGGGCGTCCATCCCGTTGAAACGGGCGCTGAGCGGCGAGGCCGAGGTGCTGCTGGCGTACGAGATGAACGGGCAGGAGCTGCCGCGGGACCACGGCTTCCCGGTGCGCGTGGTGGTGCCCGGCGTGGTCGGGGCGCGCAGCGTGAAGTGGCTGCGCAGCGTGGCGGTGTCGCCGGCCGAGAGCCCGAGCCACTGGCAGCAGAAGGACTACAAGGGCTTCTGCCCCTCCGTGGACTGGGATTCCGTGGATTTCGGGGCCGCGCCCGCCATCCAGGAGCTGCCGGTGCAGTCGGCCATCACCGAGCCCCGCGCCGGCGCCGCCGTGCCCGCCGGGGAGCTGACGGTGAAGGGGTACGCGTGGAGCGGAGGAGGAAGGGAGGTGGTCAGGGTGAGTGAGTGGGGACGGGGACGGCGGAATGGGGTGGGGAATGGGGTGGGGAATGGGGACGGGGACAGGGAATGGTCAGCGGGACAGGGAATGGCTACGGGGACAGGGAATGGACACGGGACACGGGACAGCGTCAGTGCGGCGGGAATGGGGCGGGGAACGGGCAGTGGGGAACGGGCATTGGGATGGGGAACGGTCAGTGGGACAGGGAACAGACAGCGGGATGAGGAATGGTCAGTAGGACAGGGAACGGGGTGGGGAATGGTGGGGTGGGGGGGAATGGAGGAAAGGGGGATGGGGGACAGGGCAGCGATGGGAAAAATGGGGGAAGAGGGATGTGGCAGCTGGACACGGCTCTATGCTAATTAATTAACGCTAATTAGCTCTACCGACGGACACATCACTAAACGCTACGTGTGGCTCTATGCTAATTAATAATAATTAGCTCTATCACTACCTGGCAGGTGAAAGTTTCACTGGACTGTGGCCAGATGCGGCTCTATAGTAATTAATTACTGCTAATTGCGCTGGCAGGTGGACGTTTCACTAGACGGTGGTCAGACATGTCTCTATGCTAATTAATCACCACTAATTACCGCTAATTCTCGCGGCAGGTGGACGTGTCGCTGGACAGGGGCCGCACGTGGCCCTATACTAATTAATTATCACTAATTACCGCTAATTGTGCCGCAGGTGGACATGTCTCTGGACAGTGACCTGATGTGTCTCTATGTTAATTAATCACCGTTAATTATCACTAATTGTGCCGGCAGGTGGACGTGTCTCTGGACAGTGACCTGATGTGTCTCTATGTTAATTAATCACCATTAATTATCACTAATTCCTGCGGCAGGTGGACGTGTCGCTGGACGGGGGCCGCACGTGGCTCTATGTTAATTAATCACCGTTAATTATCACTAATTCCCGCGGCAGGTGGACGTGTCGCTGGACGGGGGCCGCACGTGGCTCTATGTTAATTAATCACCGTTAATTATCACTAATTCCCGCGGCAGGTGGACGTGTCGCTGGACGGGGGCCGCACGTGGCTCTATGTTAATTAATCACCGTTAATTATCACTAATTCCCGCGGCAGGTGGACGTGTCGCTGGACGGGGGCCGCACGTGGCGCGAGGCCGAGCTGGGCGCGCGGCCGGAGCGCGGCCGGGGCTGGGCCTGGGCGCTCTGGGAGCTGCGGGCGCCGGTGCCCGCGGGCGCGCGCCTCGACATCGTCTGCAAGGCCGTGGACAGCAGCTACAACGTGCAGCCCGACACCGTGGCGCCCATCTGGAACCTGCGCGGGGTGCTCAGCAACGCCTGGCACCGCGTCCCTGTCACCGTCACCCGCTGAGGGACACCGACACCCTGTGAGGGACATCAGGGGTTTGGGGTATTGGGGACATTGGGGACATCGGGGACATCACAGGTACAACGTGCAGCCCGACACCGTGGCGCCCATCTGGAACCTGTATGGGATCCTCAGCAACGCCTGGCACCGCGTCCCTGTCACCGCCACCCGCTGAGTGTCACCGTCAGGGACACCGGGGCTTTGGGGACATGGGGGACATCGGGGACATGTGGCACCTGCCAGG